AAAAGAACAATTATGTGAATGTATATCTATAATCTGTATGTAAGAGAACAGATGACAGTAAAAATATAAAGCATAATATGGGTAAATAATATTTGGTCATAAGTAGCTAAGTTTAAATAAATAAAGAAATGGATATAAAAATGGACAATGAATAACGAGATTATGAACGCAAGATAGAAATGTATAGAAGGGAAAACACTAACTGCAAAGAAACCGATTCGGAACTGCGGTATGATATACGATGGGAACTTATTGTTCCTATGTTGTTTTTAAGCTATGTGGTTATTTTTGTTAATGTTTGTTAATGTATTTATGTGTTCTGTTGATGTGCTTATGTGTAAAAAGAAAGAAAGAAAGAAAGAAAGAAAGAAAGAAAGAAAGAAAGAAAGAAAGGGAGCAACCGAACCCCCTTCCTTCTAGCACTGATGAAGTTACCCAGTTGGGTTACGAAACAACCGCAAAAAACCCCACCCAGCTCAGAGGGCGCTCAGGACCCCCCATTTCCACCCTCAGCTACAAATATTCTCTTCTATCAAACGGTGCTTAATTTGTAAGGTGGCATCAAGCTTTTGGGCCAATTTTGCTCAGCTGAAAGACGCCGATTCTGATCGATGCGATGCTCGTATCGCCGGTTCTGTGTGTGTGTTCTGAAGGAGAGCAGAGGCCTTTCCTGGAACCCGACGAGGTGCCCAGTGCAAGGCAAAGGGAACTGAGGGCGTTACCTAGTTCGGTAATGAAACATCTAACGGGAAACTACCAGGCTCTGAGAGCACCAGGGTCCCTCCAAGGGAATCGCTTCTTAAATCCCTGGGGCTGTTGCAGACAACTTCGGCTTCTTGCTGGCAGGTGGACAGGTGGGCGCCTGTGTAGGAGAGAGGGGTGGGGGAGGGTGGCGTTAGTGAAAGAGCAATCAACCTGCTTGTATAGGATGCAAGTAACGGGAGAAAAAGAACACAGCACTCCTGCAGATCCCGAATCCGGGTCTCCATGTTATCAACCTCCGAGCACCTCCGGGACAGCTCAGGCCCAGTGGCTGAATCCCAACAGGATGGGATGCTTGGAGAGGGTTTACACTGAGTGGCAGAGCTGGTGACGTAAGCCTGGTAGCCCCCTTGCCCACGTATCCTGCCAAGGCAACTGGCAACTACGATTCAAGCCTTCTCTTCTCTTTCGGGTATTCACTGCTGCAGGGCATGGATCAGTGCTCGATCTATCATCTATCTATCTATCNCTCTCTCCTCCCCCTCCCTACCTCCTTTCTTCCCTCTGTCATCCTTTTCTTCTCTACTTCCCCTTCCTCTCTCCTTCTCCTCTCTCCCCTTTCCACTCCTCCTTTCTCTCTTCCTCTTCCCCCCTTGCCCTCTCTCCTATCCCTCTCTTCTTCCCTCCTCTAATTCACATCCTTCATCTCATTCACTTGGTGTATTTCAGCTCTCTGTCAATCTCTTTATCTCAGTCCATCTAATCTATCATCTGTCGATCTATCATTTCAATCAATCATTTCTCTATCTGTCTGTCAATCTGTCGATCAATCTATCCATCCATCCATTATCCATCCATCTTCTATCTCTATCTATCCATCCATCTATATCGCTGTCAAACTATCATCTTTTCTTCCTTCTTTCCTTTCCTTCCAATGCCCAAATCATCTAGACTCTAAGAGACAAGACAAGGGACAACATTAATTTTTTTAAACTAAAGTTTATTTAATTTTTTTTTTTTACAGAGAACATAAAAAAGAAACACCCAGTGATACGAGGAGGAAAGAAAGAAAAACAAAGTGCCAACAGAAAGAATAAAAGAAAAATATAAAGACGCTTCCGATTTTCTTTGGGCAAATATAAGTACAATTACAAAAAAATTCTTACCCTATGATTATAAAAAAGCTTACTTTTTTCTATTATTTATTTATTTTCCATTATTTATTTATTTATTTTCCATTATTTATTTATTCATTTTCCATTATTTATTTATTTTCCTAATAATCAAAGCCACAAGCTGTAAATTTAACAACAGAAAATCTGGACTCAATGCTGGTCGTAAGTGCGTGGCTACCTCTATCTTTATACATTCCAGACAATTTCTCTGTGGTAACAAATATCAACAATACATCGTTTAATAAAAAAATTATCTCTAGAACATAATGTACATTTTAATCCTTTCAACCAGACATTTTCGCCATTGTTCCCTTTGTATATCGCAACCAAGTTTTCAGTGCATTTTAGCACGCATTCTTTTCGTACGTTCTTCTTGTTTCAAGTTTCAATAAAAGTTGGGACATTTTAAAAACAACATACTCATCCTTAGTACGTAATTTTGCTTCAAACTTAACACTGTTCAAAACCGTAAAATATTTTATCCACCTTAAGCTTTTCTAACAATTTTACATAAAAAAAAACTACTGACAAAGATATCCTTCTATTGTTAAATCTTCTCTATATTTTATTTTACTATCCACGAGAAAATTCAAGTACATCAGGATAAATTAGCCAATTTATGTTTACTTATCATTTCTCTGATCCAGTGGTTCCCAAACTTGGCAACTTTAAGACTTGTGGATTTCCAGAATTCTCCAGCCAGCTCTCCTGGCTGGAGAATTCTGGGAGTTGAAGTCCACAAGTCTTAAAGTTGCCAAGTTTGGGAACCACACCATAAAATACTTCTCCAACTGAAAGGCACAAAAGGTGTTTCGGGGCAGAATATCTATTTCTATTTATTCTACACTTTTAAGAATAGCCTATCTGAAATAACCGTTTTTAAAATCCACGTTAACTTTGTCATACCAAATTTCAAAGATGACCACCCAAATCTCCCATCATGACCTTCTATTTCCAGCCACCTATTTCTTAACACAGGGACAAAAATAAATTTGATTTGGTATTTCGGTGCAACTCAAACTGATATAAATAAACCTTGTCATCTATCTAGTAGTTTTCTCTTCCTGCCATGTTCAAAAATGACACTTCAGGGGGAACTTTTAGGAACACCCCCCCCCCCTTCTTGGTTTCATTATACATCGAATATTGTTGGCACAATAGTTGAATTAAATGGCAACTGAAATGTAAAGGCAAAGGTAAGATGGAGATAGATTTAAAATGACTTTATAGATGGCATCTAGATCCTAAAAAACTGGCCTCTATGTATCCGAATTTACAACCTAAATGCTGGAGATGTGATTGTGCTGATGCTACATACTTTCATATATGATGGACTTATAAAAAGGGTAAAGCATTTTGGATAAAAATATGGTGGATTATGCAAAATGTTCTTTAAAAAAGGATAAAGTTTACCCCTGTTATTTTTGTTAGGTATAATTACTGATTGTACAGTTGTAGAGACTAACCTGATTCTGTATTTAATAACCGCAGCAAGACTGTTGCTGGTGCAATACTGGAAGAAGGAAGATTTGCCTACGATTCAAGAATATACATTGAAAGTAACAAACCTAGCTG